AGCTTTTAATCGCAAACTCCCGCTTCCGCAAACTCCCCCAGTCGCAAACTCCCGCAACCGCAACCGCAGCGGTTAAACCAGTCAGACCCTTAAACAACCATACACCCAAAATCTAAACCCCACAGATTTATCTCATTCCTCCTCTCTCTTTATCTTTATCATCTTCGTCTTCTCTCACATCATTTTATTTTAGTTTTTATTTATCTCTTCTTTGTCTTTTTCTGTCACATTCCATTTTTTCTTCATTGTTTTCTTTTTCTTCATGTTCGAGTTTTCTTCTTCTCGAAATTTTCCCATCTTCTTTTCTTTTACTCGTATTTTTGTTCCTTCTTGTTTACGTCTTGTATTTCACCTATTTTTATCTTTATATAGTCTAAATCTTTTAAAAATATATTTATCTTGTTATCTTTTGTTTCTGAATTTCAATTGTTTTATTTTTTTTTCTATTTGTGAATGTATTTTAGAATGTAGATATAAATTTATAATCAATGATTGTTAATTTTGATTACTTCATAATAATTCAAAATTTTAAAAATGCACAAAAAACTAAACCCTACACCCATCAATATAAACCCTAAACCCAAACCCAACATTATAATTTTCCCATAAACAACTCTATACCCTAAACCTAAACCCCACATTATACATCCGCCCCCCTAAACAACCTAAACCCACACCCACATTATAACAAATCACCCCCTCCCCTAAACAACTTTACACCCTAAACTAACACCTACATTATACCCCCTCTTAACCACACACATGAATCCCACATTACAAACTGGTTTTGGATTTACTTTTATTTTCTTTTTCTTTTTTTGAAAAAGTTTTTCATTTTGTAATGGTTGTTTCGTCTCCCTCTTATTCTTCTCTAGTGATCACATCTTCTTCTTTTTCTTCAATTTGTTTATTCCTTGTCATCATCTTTTTTTATTTCTTATTCTTCTTCTTCTTTCAATTTTTATTCTTCAGTCTTTTCTTGTTTCTTTACATCCTTTAATTCACTATTTTTCTTTTTATTTCTAATTTTCTTTATATTTATTTTCCGGTTTTTCTTCTTCTTGATTCCATCTCTCTATCTTTATCATCTTCATCTTCTGTGGCATCATCTTATTCCATTATCTCTCTATCTTTTTATCTCTTCGATTTTTCAATCTTAATTTTTATCTTTTGATTTGTCAATTTATTCTTTATTCCATATTCTTCAATTCTTTTTTTTTTTGGTTTTGTGTCTATCATTTCCGTCTTCACCTTTTTCTTTTTGTCATTTTCATCTTCCAAACTTTTTCTTCTTCTACTCCGCCTACTCTAAATGTTATTCATATTTCTTCTTCGTATGGCTTTTTATTTATATTCTATTTCTTTATTTATATTTTTTTCTCCGACATTAATAACGATCTAATCTTGTCAAGAATCGTTTCTCATTTACAAATATAAAATAAAAAAATAGAATTTTTTGACAATCATCCAACAATCTACATATAGATTTTCAAGGTCGATAAGTGAAAAGATCTCTTAAGTTTTTAAAAAACATATAGACTTTCAAGGATTATTTTCATATATATTTTTATTATTCCCAATTTTTTCATGATGTTTATTCTCCCTGATGGACAAAGCCATTTAAGTTAATTCAAAATAAATTTCTTGAAAGAACAATTTAAACTCCAACGATTTCATCTTCTTCGTCATTGTTCTTTCCTTCTGATTTTATTTGTCATCTTCTTTACCTTTCATTTTTTATCATTTAAAGAAAAGAAAATAATTTAACAAATAATGATTTCTCTCATTAAAATATTCCATATGTGTTAGATCAAAGACGAAAATATTCCTCTCTTTCTGAATTTTGTTTTCATTACCTTTCAAATTCAATATCTGATGTTTTTTCATTACTTTTCATATTACATTTATTTATCAGATTCAAATAAAATATTAAATAATTTAGTTATTTTTCTATGTCTTTTTTCGTAAATGTGTTCATGAACTATTTTTTTTTATGCACACAAAACTAAACCCTACACCCACCAATATTAACTCTATATTTTAAACCCTAACCCTACAATAACCCTCCCCTTCCCTCTCCATCAACACTACACCATAACCAATACTCGGATCATTTTGAATTGTCTAATAATTTTCAGAACCGTTAACACATGTGCTCAGTCTGAGGCCTCTATCCATCTTTAATCCGGATATTGTATGCCTTCAGATTTTCTACCTTAACCATATCCAGCTCCAGAAAATTATAGCACTCTATCATCAAACTAAAAGTAGGCTAAACAATCTTAAATGTTAATCATATAGTTCATTACTCTATCTGATCAGGGGAGAAGCTACACGATCCCTTGTCTTCTCTTCGCGTCCAACTGCTTTAAAACTTCCTATCTCATCGAGCATTGAACGAATTCAGTCTTGCGACACCGACAATGCACATCTAAATGATATGTCTTTCCTTAATCAGTCAACAGACTGAGCACTATGAGAGAACCACAAGCTCACATCCGAACCCAAGAAGGACAACACGGTGGATATTAAAAGCAAGAACATATTTTGGAGGCAAAATCACATATATATGAATCAACAGTTACCCACAAAAGCTTAGGCCTTAAGAAACAATTTCCACAAGCTCACAAATCAATTACGTAAACGGCATTCGTAAACCAGTCTCGCTTACCAGTGACAACGACATGTTCTACTCAACGCAACAACAGCTCAAAGGTGGAGGGAGGTAACTTGGATCACGATTCTCCTAATAATAACTTGGATGAAATTTTCCACCATTCACTCTCTCATGAAAAATAAGCGGAGACACGGCGACGATGAGCGTAAAAGAGGTCAGCTTCCACTCGACGACTTCACGAAAGACGGTGGTATCTAGGAGTAGATGGGCGACGGAAGACGGTGGCTTTGGTGATTGCACTTTCTCGGCTTCCTCAGGTACATTTCTCTTCTTTTTTGGTAAAAAAAATTAGAGAATTTTGTGTTCTTCTCTCAACCAAAAAAAAAACATGTGATCATTTTTATATACTCGTTACAACAGAAGCACCCGAGTCCTTCATGAGACGTAGACCGACGCTTTCCACATCACTGTCCCATAGCTGGACCTTTTCCTGATGATCGTGTAAAATTATGGCACGTGTTTCTTTGGAAACTGAGAAATATGTACCACTTGAGCCTTTAACGCGGATTGGAAACAGTGCCGGTCTTTGCCATCTGCCCATCTCCGATCAAATATTTAGGACAAAACTGAGGGCTCTAAACTGCTATTTGCTGCAAGATATTCGAAAATAACATAACCATCATCAAACTCTAGTGGAGATAATAGTATTTCAAAATCAAGTCAAAGAATTTATGAAACAATCAATCAAATATATTTCGTAAAAGAAGAAGTCATAGAAAATCGGCACATATGAATCAAAATTGGTTGTTACCTGATGTGTCACATATACACAGTTGTAATCTTCTTATTAAAAGAAGAAGTCATAGAAAGTCGGCACATATGAATCAAAATTGGTTGTTACCTGTGTCACATATACACAGTACGTAATCTTCTTATTAAAACATGAGATCAACCCTTAAAAAACAAAAACGTTGTTTTTTTACCTCTAATATCTACTTTCTTTTTGGAGGTTTAGATTTTCTGTTACGGCAGCAATGAGAGTTTGTAGTGGTGGGCTCTTCTCTACGTAACTTAATAACTTGAGTAAGAAATTTTACCAGACCACTATTTGTAATACTAACCGATAACAACTAATTCATGGATCTGTTTCAGCAAAGGAAGATTACTCCATAGTCAAATCCCAAAGCAGCCTAACATCTAATCCATTGTACTAACTCAAATTCCTTGAAATCAGGAGCTGTAGAGCCCTTTGTTCTTCTTCTTTTTTCACTTGTGCAGTAAGCTTTTTCTGCCTAGATCAAAGGTAGGGTTTACTTAAGCCACTTTACGTCTAGCAAAAAGTTGACTTATGAACTACGGTATGGCTATCATCGGCAGAAGAAAACTATGTTCATGTCATGGAGAGAGATTTAGGGTTAAATATATATAGTGTATATATAGATTTGTAGAGGTTTAACTTTTTTTAAATAGTGGTGATCATCCTAAATAATATATGCGATTGTATAAAAGGATAATAGTAATGTTTACTTTTTATCAAAAAAAAAAGAATAAATAAATAAAGATATTCATGAGATTTTCATTAAGGGTATGTGGGTAATCAACCAGCTGAGAGTTAACGTGGTGGCTGGAAACGAAATTTTCACTTCGCAAATAATATATTAGATATAAGCAGATGTTAAAAAAAAAAAAAAACTGAGTTATAAAAAAAAAAAGTAGATTAAATTATGCACTATTTAATTAGTTTTTAGTCCAAGCCCCTATAGACTTGGAATTTACCTTGAGTTAAAAAAAAAAAAAGTATGCACTATTTAATTAGTTTTTTTGGTATAAATAAAATAAGGTAAAATTGGCAAATGTGCGGGTATATCATCAAACAATCCTCTCCCTATCCACACACGTCGTGACTCGTGAGCGGTCGAATCAGGCAAAGACTCTCAGTTCGGTGAGAGATTCCGGTGAAGCCCAAACACCGTATCCTCCAAATATGGCGACAGCTCATGCATGCGTTATCGGACAGAGAATCCCCGTCTCTCAATTTCACATCCTCTTTGCTCCGAGATCTCCAAATCCGGAGCTCGCGGCGACCAATAAACGCGCGAATTTCTGCGTATCTTTCAGCCAATCACATTCCTTCGCTTCTCCTATAACAACCCGGAACCTTAAAAAACCATCTCCGATCTGTCTTCGCCGTCGTCGATGGCCCTGAAACCAGTTCGTGTGAGGATAAGTGGGATTGGAATCGTTGGAATCGCCACTTCTCCGAGATTGAAGAAATCGAAAGCGCAGTTTCTCTTCTCAAGGTTCTATCCATCAAGTCACAGCCTTCTAAATGATGCTTATGTAACAGTTTCAACTTGAAGAGGCCATTGAAAGTGAAGACTTTGAAGAAGCAGCGAAGTTGAAAAAAGCTATTGGAGAAGCCACTGTGAAATGTGAATGATCATGTGGCTGAGATCATGTCATGTGCCAGTTACAGGTTAAAAAAATATACGTGATAACAGTCAAGTCAAGCTCTTTATGTTATCTTCTTGTACTCATTATATGATAGTTTCCTTGCAGACTACAGTACGCGAAGAGCGTTACCATGATGCTTCTAGAATATGTAGCCAGACAGGAAGTGGACTGGTAACTTTATTTTGCCTCTTTCTGGTTAAGCTTGTAAGATAGTCCTCAATCACCCAAATTATACCAAAAAAATATAACAAGTACAAAATTTCACAAACATTATAAGTGTTGCAAATGTATTAAATGACACCTACACACCTAAATCTAGAAAAGGGCAACAAGTAGATGAGCTCTTAAGCTTTTATAAGGTATTGCCGAAAATTGTTTCATGTCGATAAATCATCAAGGTAGGTAAGGTTAGTTGAATGAATATATGTTTCCTGACATAAGTGATGGTCTCACCAAGTCAATTTGTTAAGAATTTCTTCATATTATTCCCTAAATCTGTAGTCAAGAATCTATGCTTTTATCTGGACTTGGATTGGTTTAGAAGTTCAAAGCATTATCACACGTTTCTGATGTATATGTAGGTGGGCTGGTGAGTTGGTTATCCTCAAGATTCTGATGAACCATTTGGTAGAATTTTGCGTATAGAGCCAGGTGTTGGGAGGTTTATCGGCAAGAGTTACAGTCCAAGGTGCAAGTTCTGCAGATAATTTTACTTCGTTTTTTTTAATTGAGTCTGATAACTGCTTCATACAGACAGGTGGTGACTGCACCAGCTAGAACACCTCTTTTTGAGATTTTCAATGTTAAAGACAATGGCGGAGGATATGTTATGCAGGTACTTAAACCAATCACATTTGTAAAACTAAATTTTGCAGTTCTGGTGACATAATATCTTATTACCATGTTTCTTGTATTAAGATTAGCGTTACGTAATTATACTGTAACCAACCACCCTTTGAGTTTTTGTTTTTCTCCTTCTCACATATACGCATTTGTTCAGGTGGTGTATTTGGAACATGTCAAGCAAAAACCATCCGATTCCGAGAAGTCCTATTTAAAAGCACAGCAACCATCCAATGCCTCAATTGAGAGCCCATCCATTCTAGACGTACGAGGAAGTGAAGTCCAGGTGGATAAAAAAGAAGATAGGTTACAACTACTAAATCCTCAGGAACCAACTGAAGAAGCGATTAAAAATGTGATAGACTTTCTAAAAGATAGAATCCCGGGGCTAAAAATGAGAATGGATGTTAGAATCCCCGATGAGGAGACTGTAGGCAGCGATGGTGCTACTGAGGAGCTGGTTGGAGAAGGCATTGATGAAACTAATTCTGGTGATGAAGGACAAGACGACATTGTTGAAGAAATTGCAGACCATGGAAAGCATTTTAACACTAAAGTTTTGTTCGGAGGGGTTCTACATGACACAGAGGATTCCTCTATCGAGGATGAGCTTCTCCGTGTTTCGGCATATATAACAGATACTGAAAGAGATTCCTTTATCTTGCATGTTCCTGGGAGAAGTAAGAAAGGTATTGATACAAGAAAGAACACAGTATCCAAGGAACAAGTCTCCGCTCAAGGAATTTCAGATCTGATGCCACCAGAGGTTGCTGAGGCTCTCTGGGGTCTCGAGAAAGCTCCTTTGAAGGTAATAAGCTTGACTGAGGAAGGAGTTTGTGAATTTTAGCAGCCTTTTGACATAAGTAGCATTCTGTGTGATGTATATATCTGCTTGCCATGAATAGATTCTGCTCTCAGAACTATATCACAGTTTTAAAATACATATAGGAAGATTCTACCCGTTTACAGTTCCATATTAAGATCTACAGTCATTGTTCTAGGTATCAAGAAATGTGCGAGAGATTGTCAAGCTTGCTATAAATCAGGCACAAAGAGGAAACCGGCTCTTTGAGTATACATCATTTAATAGAATCGTATCTCCTGAAAGCGACCTAGACCCTTTTGAGGGTAAGCATGTTGTAAATTAGCATTAGGTTTGAATGTGTTTGCACAACTCAACTTGGGACATGTTCTGCATATGAAGTGCAGGCCTATATGTGGGTGCGTTCGGACCTTATGGGACAGAGGTAGTACAACTTAAGCGTAAGTATGGTCGGTGGGATGATGCAGAGGGGAGTAACTCGTCAGATACAGAGTTCTTTGAATATGTCGAGGCTGTGAAGTTGACAGGGGATCCAAATGTGCCGGCTGGCCAGGTTTATTTTTACTTTTTTTGAATTTTCAGTTTCTGAGTATTTATTTTGTGGAATGAAGAACTTAAAGATAGGATCACAAATTCTTGGTAGGTGACATTTCGTGCAAAGATTGGGAAAGGGAGTCGCATGAGAGATCATACAATGTACCCAGAGGAAATGGGAGTGGTAATGACACACAATCGGAACAAGAGCCAAAAAAAAAACAATATTTAATTTCCTATTGAAGCAATAGCATGTTGATATATGAAACTGAAAGCCCATCCAAAAGTTGTTAACGTTTATGCAGCTTTCGAGTTACGTAGGAGAAGGAAGGATCGCAGACTTTGGGGTTTAAAAACCCAAAATGGGTCGGAGGGCAGCTTTTAAAACTCAATGGAAAGGTAATAGTATTATATAGAAACACAACAGAGCCAAGCATCATTATTTTGTTTGTCTCCAGTGTTAATGGTTTTTTTATATTTTGTGAACAGGGAATGGGACCATATGTGACGGGTGTGGATCTTGGATTTATATATTTTGGCCCTGAGAAGAGTTTCTTGGTCATTTCCAACCGTCTGAGACTGCCTGAGTGAACAATGCCTTAGTGACCAATAAGCGGTAGTTTCATTGTAATTATATTCTCCTTTGGCTTTGTTTCATACACTTAACACTTACACTTACCAATTTTAAAGCAGTGTTTAGAATGTGGAGATCTATTTGTTTTGTTTTTGTTTTTACCAATAGGACGAATGTAGAAGAAAATTGCTACGACATAGATATTCCATCCGAATTTTTGATGTGGTTTTATTAAAGATATTTTTGTTTTAGAAAAGTACATAGTAACTAATTTCAAGCAGAAACAGAAAATCGATTGAAAGAGAAATCCGAATTGATTGAGTAAGTTATAACGTAAAACTTTACATGTTTATTTTACCCCTAAAATTCAGTTTCTCCAAATTTAGCTGAACTGGCGTGGTGATTTGATATTTGAAGTAAAAAAGTACCAACATAAATGCAGTTTTTTTGGTGAGAAGTAAAATGACAGCGCAATAGAGAAGAAAGAAGCATGGCGGGGCATTAAGAGAGAGAGAGAATAATAATAACCTTTTTTTCTTTCTCTCTCTTCCCGCTCCTCCCACTTTGACATTCCACCGAAAAAAATTGAAATTTCAACTCTCACCTTCGACCCATTTCTTGACTCTTTTCAATTCTACATTTACCCTCCCCTCCTCTCAGATTTCCATTTTCTTCTTGTCTCCTTCCGAGGATTCCGACTCCGACAGAAATCCCAACAGGTTAGAAATTTGTTTGTATGTTTCTTCTCTCTTTGTCCCCTTTGGATTTTGTTTTTCTTTTCCAATATAATCTCTGAAAACAAGGTATTGCCTCTTGTAACTTGTTTGTCCTACAATGGCTGCTAATATGTCGCAATGAAGTTCTGAAATTTTGATATACGAGCTTCAATGCTTTCTTTGATATTCGTATTGTTCCAGGAATATCCGATTGAATATATGTTTCTTTATGCAATTTTTTTTGTTTTTTTGTTTTTTTAATTTTCCAAACTTAAGAGCCTTAAATTCGCATTTTTTCGACAAGAATTGCACATCCGATTTGAGTTCTTTATCTCCTCCATGGATGATTCATGTTTATGAATTGTGTCTGTTTTCATGTGCAGAGAGAGAGAGAGCTGTAATATTTGGAGGAAATAAATGGAAGGAGGGTCTGTTAACAACTTAAATGGCAATTCCAAAGAACAATCAAATGCAGATGAAGCGTTCGACACAACGATAGAGGAGCTCTGTAAGAATCTCTGCGAATTGCAGAGTTCCACTAACCAGTCACCATCAAGGCAGAGCTTTGGATCGTACGGTGACGAGTCCAAGATTGATTCTGATCTACAACATCTTGCTTTAGGAGAGACGCGAGATTTCGATATAACAACGGAAGAGGAAGAAGACCAAGTGGAAAAGCCACAAGAATTTGATGTGGTGAGACCAGGAACAGGAAGTAGTAGTAGAAAGTCAAGCTCTTCAAAGGATACCGAGAAACAAGCTGGTAAGAAGAATGCGAACAGATCGAGCTTGGGACTTGGTGGTACCGCCACGAGGAAGAAGAAAGCCGGAACCAAGTTACAAAACGGAAACGAAGAGCAACCATCATCTGAAAATGTAGAGCTGGCACGTTTCTTACTGAACCAAGCGAGGAACTTGGTAAGTTCTGGCGATAATATCAACAAAGCTCTCGAGTTATCTCTCCGAGCAGCTAAGTTGTTCGAGGCTTCTGCGGATAACGGGAAGCCTTGTTTGGAATGGATCATGTGTTTGCATGTTACTGCAGCAATCCACTGTAAGTTAAAGGAGCACAAGGAGGCGATTCCTGTTCTGCAGCGCTCCGTTGAGATTCCAGTTCCCGAAGAAGGTGAAGAGCATGCACTTGCCAAATTTGCTGGCTTGATGCAGTTAGGTGACACTTATGCTATGGTGGGGCAGCTAGAGAACGCGGTGTCGTGTTACACTGAAGGATTGCAAATCCAGAAGAAGGTTTTGGGAGAGAATGATCCAAGAGTTGGTGAAACGTGCAGATATTTAGCCGAGGCTCTTGTGCAAGCATTACGGTTTGATGAGGCTCAGGAGGTCTGCGAGACGGCTCTCTCTATACATAGAGAAAACGGTTTGCCAGCTTCAATCGCAGAGGCAGCGGATAGGAGACTCATGGGACTTATCTGTGAGACTAAGGGAGATCATGAGAATGCTCTCGAGCATTTGGTGTTAGCTAGTATGGCCATGGCGGCAAATGGACAGGAGTCCGAGGTTGCTTTTGTTGACACCAGCATTGGTGACTCCTACTTGTCTTTGTCTCGGTATGATGAAGCGATCTGTGCGTATCAGAAATCTCTCACGGCACTGAAGACAGCAAAGGGAGAGAACCATCCAGCTGTTGGTTCGGTTTACATCCGTCTAGCTGATCTCTATAACCGAACAGGGAAAGTGAGAGAGGCAAAGGCTTATTGTGAGAATGCTCTTCGGATATATGAGTCACATAACTTGGAGATCTCTCCTGAAGAGATTGCAAGTGGTCTTACGGATATCTCAGTGATCTTCGAGTCGATGAACGAGGTGGAACAAGCGATAACCTTGCTGCAAAAGGCCCTGAAGATATACGCCGACTCACCTGGTCAGAAAATCATGATTGCTGGCATTGAAGCTCAAATGGGAGTCTTGTACTATATGATGGGGCAATACATTGAGTCATACAACACGTTCAAGAGCGCTGTCTCGAAACTACGGGCCACCGGAAAGAAACAATCGACGTTTTTCGGGATTGCGCTTAACCAAATGGGTTTAGCTTGCATTCAGCTAGATGCAATAGAAGAGGCTGTTGAGTTGTTTGAAGAAGCCAAGTGTATTTTAGAACAAGAGTGTGGTCCATTTCACCCGGAAACACTTGGAGTCTACAGCAACCTTGCAGGAGCTTATGATGCTATTGGCAGGTACTTGTGTTACTTTCTTCTTTTTTTTTTTTTTTTTTTTGGTGACATCCTCTCCTATTGAGGATCTTGAACATGATGTGGTTTGGTTGTGATTTTAGGTTGGATGATGCGATCGCGCTGCTAGGACATGTGGTTGGGGTTCGGGAGGAAAAGCTCGGGACAGCAGCGAGTTCTGGAACAGAAGACGAGAAGAAGAGGTTGGTCCAACTCTTGAAAGAATCTGGCAAGGTTTCAAGAAGAAAAACTAAATCCCTCAAGACTCTTATTGATTCTGAGCTCATGACTTCCTCAGCTCTTCGTTAACATGTGGTATTATTTATAACTATCTTATTATATAAAATGTGAATACATTATTTCATCTTTGTGATTATGTTTGTGGAAGCGTTTTAGTTTCGTTTTGTCTACTTTGATAAGAAAGTATTACATATTTGTTTTAATTGTTGAATGAGAGAGGATCATTACCACTTTAGAGTTTAGACTGCTCTCTTTTCATTAATAATCGAAATCTGCTTCACAATCTCTTTAAGTGCGATCTCATCTTTAAGTATAGAGGTATGCGAGACTCCACCAATCTCTACAGTTGTCAAGCTCTCAACTCTGTGAATCAACTCCAAAGCTTTTAAGCTCGCCAAATTAACAGTTCCGTCTCCATCTCCATACTTAATCTCTGGTTGCTCATCAAATCCTCCTTCTCCATACACCAAAACCTCCGGAGTATCAAACCCTTTCCCGTATATACAAGTGACCGGCACTCCAGGAGTCACAACTTCCACTGTTAAAGGCAACACTCTTGTCTTGTAATTAGGGACTACACCTTCAGAGAACCCAATGTCTTCAAGAAACTTACCATCTCGTAAGCTGTGTAGTTACCCCAGGGAGTAACAACAATCGGTGGTAGATGGAAGTAACCATTGGTTACTCTCGGATCGCCTCTGTTGCGGCATGACAAGCAAAGGGTTAACAAAAGGAACACCGAGTGTGTTTCCAGAAGCAAATGTCTTCATCTTCTCAACGGTACCGCCCCACGGCGCAGCGAGTGCGACAAAGTGTTTGATGTACTTGCGGCGCCAGGAAGGGGTGGTACGGTTGATGAAATGGAGAACGAAAAGGCCTCCTAGGCTATGGGAGAGGAGTATCACTGGCTTTCCTTCGTTCTTGCTGCTCGTTTTCTCCACCAAATTTTTGAGGTCTTTGTAGGTATTGTGAGGCTACACGAGTAGGGTGGCCCGACGCAGCCAAGCCGTACCTGAAGTCATATGGAGCTCCCAGGATGGTTTGGTCGTTAACATACTCGCTGTCTTTCTCTAGAGCTTTCACCAAATGTGACATGTACGATGTGGCATCTCTGCAGCAAGTCACACCTTATTGTTAAGCTACATTTACATATTGAAGATCTTTACTCTAAGTATTTGATGCATAAACCATAAAAATATATTCTTATCACATTCTTGCAAGATTATATCAAGCTACAACCTTCTAGCTTCACTTAGGATGGAAAATACAGTTTACGGTTTGATTCTGTTTCCGTTTTTTTTGTTCTGGTTTTATTAGCTTAATATCGATTTTCTCCTTGATTGTGAATCCCCTCGAGAAATTAAAAGCCCTTTTCTTTCATTAATGTCAGAAAACGCAAACGAGTAACAAGAAATGTTGGAAGGTACAGTACTACTAACCGGAGAAGAGGGTTGAGGTAGAGAAGGGATTTGGTAGAACCGAAATTGCAAACCCGGGTGTGTACAGGTGGAGCGTTTTGATAATCATCCAAATCGGCGTCATAGTACAATATCATTCGCTTGTTGAAGCACTTGGTGAAGGGAGACAATAGCACTGATGGATCGAACCATAGCCTGAACCATTCACCACTCTTCTTGCGGATCGGGCATAACCAGCTGCTACACCAGACGCTCTTTGGCTTGTAATGTTGGTCAAGTCTTACCTCTATCTGATTACCTCCGTTTCCTGGGACTAGAATCAGAGGGTGGATGTTGTTACCCAGGCCACAGCTTGACACATCGAGGTCATTAGGAGCATCTCTATGAGTATAAGTATATCTACCAAACAAAGTGAAGATGGTTTGTTCATTTTCTTGACAAGAAAAAGAGTCTGATTGTGATAGGTCTATGCAGAGCTGGAGATTTAAAGAGAAAGGTCCACTGAATTTCGAATGAGTAATGTAGAGAGCAGAGTAGTGTATCTAATACGTATGTATGGCTTATAAGATACTCCCTCCCATATTATAAGCTGTTTTGGCATAATGTATCTCCAAATACATCCAGAAAATTGCAGATACATTATGCCAAAACAGCTTATAATATGGGACAAAAGGAGTAAGTTGTATTTGGTCGTATGGTACCGGCTTACTGGCCTGGAGGCTCTGCAGATATTTATTTCCCATTTCTTTCCATGATTTTATTTCCTTTCTTATTATTATTTTTCTTTATTTGCGTGACCTAGGCGTGGGTTCCGGTTAGGTTATGTTCGGGTCAGGTTTTTTGGATTTTTGGGTTTAGAGATATAGAAACTGTTCGGGTTTTTTAAAGTCTCGGTTCGGTTTTTTTTCGGGGTTTTTGGGATTTTATTAAGTTTTTTTTTTTTTTTTTTTTTTTTTTTTTTCCTGGGTTCTTTCGGCTTTCGGGTAAAAAACTCAGGCATAGTGTGACCCTACAAAGTCGTAACCGCGCCATTACCATTTGAAAAATGTAATTTATGTTTTGTATTTTTCAGTTCATAGTAAAAATTCCATTATTCAATCAATTCAAATATTAATTTTGGTAGCAATATATATTATACAGATTTGAATATAATTGGAAATGCATAAAACGTCGATGACACTAGTCGATACACTACTGATATATATCTATTTTACAAGCTTTTGCATGATTTTAATATGTTTTTCATATGGTTTTTAATAGGTTTTCAATCTAAAAATATAGTTTTTATGGATTTATAGTACTAAGGACCTGATTAGTGTAAACGATGCGGTTGCGGTTATAGGAATTTGCTGTAGCGCACGGTTGCAGCTAGGAGCTTTATCAAGCGGTTTGTACGACTGGTATAGCGGTTGAAAACGGATATGTTTGCGAAACACTTATGACTGGTTAAATAGCGGTTAAACAATAAATTAACAATATAAACACATTATATAATTATAAAAATATCAAAATTATTATATTAAACAATTATAAAATTATAGTTCAATATAACTAATACTAAAAATTTATAAGAAAATAATATGTGTATAATGCTTACATTTATCTTTTAATTTCTATAATTTGGATGAAAAATGTGATTTTTAATAAAAAAATATATTTAGTGTGAATACTAAGTTTATGTTATAATTTCATTTATTAGATATATATACTAGTATGAAGAGCATTTAAGAAGAGAATTTTGATTTAATATATATATATATATATAATTGATATATTTTTAGTGAATATTTACTAAAAATGTCAAATTTATTTATTTATATTTAAAATATAATATAAAAATCTCAATTTTTTAATAATCTACATATATGCTAATTTTAAATAACTAAAAAAGAAAATTCCACCCGTAATCACCAGCAACCGGAAACGCTGCTGGAAATGAGTTTTTGATTTTGAGGGTTCTGGAGCGGTTTTGAACGTTTTCAAGGGGTAGAAAGCGTTTTTCGGTGATTGTTGTCAAACGCCAACAACCTCTACCTTCCGCCAAAACTGCGTTGCGGATTGCAACGGTGAACCAGTCACCCCCTATCGCAACCACCCGCAAACACAGCTTTTGTGAAGGGGTGGGGTTGCGATTGTTGGCGTTTATTATTTATAATGTCATTCATCAACAAAAATTAATTTAGGAAATAACATAATTGAAAGAGAAATCATCTTTTAAAAATAAAAATTAGCCAATTTATGATTTAGGACGTCATCATCCAAAAAAAACTTGTTGTTGTTGATCATTAGTGGGTGTTAACTATATGCGGTAATCAGCTTTGTTCTAATATCATGTACTAGATTAGGCCCCGCGTATACCCGGGTTTATTATACAATTTTTAAAATAAATCATAGAAAATATCAAATAAATTTGACACTATAAAAGTAAATAGATTCATATTAAAACCCCGATACAAGACCTCTAAATAATATTATATTGGTAATATTTTTACATTTTTATTATAATTGACATATTTTCTGAATTCATGAAACGAAAAATGAATTAATTTGTTATCCTTTACTTTTATCTAAAATTGAAAGACTTACACATGTGTAAGTCTGATTGATTGATTAATTCGTGAAAATTTTATTATTTCATTGAATAGATTTCGGTTAATGAAATGTTTTTTTTAATATTTTTTTATCTAACAAAAAAAATAAACTATTAAAATTAGAATATCAGTTTAATATTAGTTAGTTTCTTGATAATTATTTTATTAATTTTCTATTTATATTGTTTTTTCAGTTTTGTTTTTGACTCAGGCCATTGTAAAATTTCCTTTCCATTATTAGTTAGTTGATTTCTAATTATTTTGTTAGTTTTTTTTTATTTATTTTATACATTTTTCCAATTTTCTTGA